CTTATCACTAACGGAAAGTCTTATGGTTTTCAACCTTATCAGGTCTCGTACCTCTCGCATACCACGTTTTTGCACTGTTTTTTGGAGCTGTATCTTTTCGCGCGATAGTGATTAAGGACTTTGAGAGTTTCATTCGCAAACATCCGAAATTTAACATCAACTTCATTATTGGGCTCTTGCTGTCTAAAGAACGTTGGGGGAAATGGTGCTATTGGTAGGGCCCCCACTTGACGTTGTTCCCACCTATTTAGCGCTTCATCTCTAGCTTTTTTGCGGAGTCTATCTTGAAGTTCATGTAAACCACATGCGACCCTACGCAAGGTTATCTTAGAAGGGGCACATTATACTTCCACATGATTTCTGTGCGGTTGGTCTCTACGTGACATACTTAGTGGAGACCTCATAGAAAGCGGTGAGTGTGCAAAGCTGTGTTCAAAGTGATTGAAATCTTGGTTTGGGGTTTCTTTGTTTGGTTATGGAGGCGTCTGGCCGAGTGAGTTGCTATCAACTTGACCTTTCCAGGCTCTGAAGAAGGCGAAATTCGCCGAAACGTTAGCTTATTCGTGAATAAAGAATAATAACACCTCGCGTTTGCTCAACAAAAATACGAAGAATTACTTGATCAATGCCGAGGTTAATAGAAAGTCGGTCGTGGCAGTTATTTCGCAAATGTTTGAAATGCAATCACCACAATAATTCTGAGATAAAACTCAGACTCCAGCCCAGATTCGAACTCATGATTGCCCTTTCCGGTGGCTCACATGTTACCCAATGCACCACCGAGGACCTCACATTGCCTTACCCTATATCTCAAAATCCTACTTAGAGTCGGCTTCTTATTTAAAGGTGCCACCAGCAATATTTTATGTACTTGCTCAGATACTTAGATAAACCGTCTTCACAAGCCTCATAACTTCTTGCATTTGTCGTTAACGGAGGTAGTCGTATTCGCATGTGGCATCGGCTGTGGTTCGTAGATATGATAGTTGGTCTCAGTTTTCAATCTTTTTGGTGATGACCTCGGCGTATTTTTGATTCTTTTACAATTCGCTCTGGTTTGTGGTTAGTGACACTTGTGTATGTTTTTGTGCGGAAGAAAACGTGTACTGTGTAACAAATTCGCGATTCCTGAGAAAGAAAACAACGCATCAATGGCATTTTTAATTCTTTCTTTTTATAAACTCGTTGATTTGCTGATGTAATGGGGACACTGTAGTGATCTGATGACACTTGGTCTTCATTTAGTATTGATGAATCCGTATTATACTAGGCAGCGATTCATAGTGAAATAGGTGATTTATTTATTGGGTTGGCTCTGCAAGCCAGTGCGCAAGACGAAACTTCGTTTGAACAAATGAAATGGATTTGCTATTGAAACGTGAAATGAGCAAAATTACGAAGACAGTAACCAACGTCGTTATTCCTTCTTTTGTATTCAAATTTACTGGAACGCATGCGGTTGATCTTCAACCTTTCAAACAGACGCTTCACATCACAGAATCATAACAGAGTGTAAAGCAGGAAATTTACTCAGTCTTTAATAGTTCTTGGCTATGTATGAGATAAAAAATCATAAAATCGAGAAGAAAAAGTAAAAAAAGCAAAAATCAACCAAATCAAAAAATCATTCTGCAATCCAACTGGGAAGGCTCCAGCTCTCAGGACTCCAGGGAGAATTAGTCGACCAGCGTTCTGCGATATTCAAGATAAAATGGAAATCCTTAAGCAGCAACAGAAGCCACACGTAAAGTTGGAAGATCTTCGTGGACAATGGATGCGAGGAAAGGAATCGAATGTGAAAAGTGCTGGAATCCACACGGCAGACGTGAAGACAGGTCAAAATAAAACATAATAAAAACAAAAATGTATGATATCAACAAGATCCACGAATCTCCCTCATATGAGGTGTCTCGAGCCGGTTAGTCGCGAGACTACGTGGCGCATCTCCAAGTGGCGGATAGGAGGTTAATCGCGGACCAAAAGCGACCTTTGCTTTCTTGAGACTCAGGTGAATCCGGTGGATGGACTCCCTTTTTCTCCTAAGCTGATTTCGCGCATACTTTCTGTATTTGCTAAGCGTATTCACGCATGCGTGTGTGGGTGCGTTCTTGCTTGTGCGGATTGTATTCTACAAGTCAATTCGGCCAGATGTCTGCAATCAAGTGACTGGGAAATATATGGGAGGCGGTTAGAAGTCGTCTCCAACAAATAAGCTCCACTCTGGGAAAGCCTGGCAAGGCACCCGTGAGTATATCCAGCCCTCACATTCAGGTTCAGAGCCCAGCAAGCTATGCGTGGGTATCAAAAAATGCTAAACACAACAAAAAAAAATCGGGCCTCATTCCCCTTACCCCAAAAATGCCCCAATTTCGCAGCATTGGGTAGGACGAGTACGGAGAGGCTGCTAAAATCTCAGGGCCAATGGAAGCTGCTTGGATTTCAAAAAACTATGGTGACGATCTGTACCTACAATGCACGTACACTTGCATCCGAATCCTCGATAGAAGACTTGCTCATGCAAGCAGGAAGGATAAGGAACGACGTCATCGGCCTGGCCGAGACGAGAAGACGCCAGCCCTTCAACGCCGTCTATAACACCGGAGAAGAACTGTTCCTCGGAACATGCGGCAGTAGAGGAGTCGGCGGCGTCGGCGTTCTCTTCAGCACGAGTTTGTCCATGAACATCGATTCATTCGAACAACCTACACCTCGAATCGGACGTTTACGATTAACAAGACGTGGATCAGTTTCTGCTTTGACAATCTTCGTCGTTTACGCGCCAACGTCAAGCTGTGACGAAGAAGAAGTCGAAGCGTTCTATATAAACTTGGAGAAGTTCTACAGTGAAGTCCACACATTCTTCAAGGTCATCATTGGAGATTTCAACGCCAAGATTGGAGCAAGAAGAACGTCTGAAGGACGTCACATTAAGACCCACGCATTAGAATGGAACGAACAGGGTGAGCGGTTGTCTCAGTTTATCATGGTGACCAAGGCAATCCATACTAACTCGCAATTCCAGAAGCCCCACCCCCAGCGCTGGACGTGGGAGTCACCCACTGGAGAGTACCATAACTAAATAGACCACATCATAGTAAATAAAAGGTTTTGCCTAATCGATGTCGCTGTTGTTCTAAAATTCTACGCAGGATCAGGCCATCGTCTCCTTCGTACAAAACTCTATTGCTCGCGGAAAGGAAAAAAACCCGCTAATTCCAAAACCGAAGTCCCAGAAACACAGTAAACTGGGATTTATTCAATTCATTAGTGGCTGCTGGAAAGATGCCGTTGTCGATAACATCGACGAAGAATACGATCGGTTCATTCAACATCTTCACGTTAGCGCTATGAAAGCTGAGAGTTCGAAAGTCACCAAGAGACGTCTGTCGCCAGAAACACTCGAGCTGATACGCCAGCGTGGAATCGCACGAGCTGCAGGCAACCGCGAACTAACGCCTGAGTTTGCAAAACAATGCAGACAGGCGATAAAAGGAGATCTTATAGAGAGAATAGCAGCAGTAATGGTCGAAGCTGCAGAGCCTGGGAAAACCATTCGCAGAGCAAACCGAAGCTTCGCCAATTACAAGACCAAAATGATTGCACTCGGCTCTCAGACGGAGCAGTTGCAGCGTCCAGAAAGGTAATGGAGAAAATCATTCGCGAATACTACTCGGATCTCTTCGATAGGCACGTCCACATTCCGTCGTATGAAATAAAGGAGGATGAATATGTTGTACCACCGGTTCTCCCTTCCGAAATCCGACATGCCATTTCGTCGGTGAAAAATCGAACAGCACCAGGTTCGGGCAGGATAAGACCAGAACACCTGAACAGCCTTCTTCCAGTCTTCGTAAACACACTAGCTCGCCTCTTCACACGTTACCCGTCTGAATTAATGTCCCTACCCAGTGGAAAACCGGCAGGACCGTGCTAATGTTTAAGAAGGGTGACCTACACGATATCGGCAGCTGTCGTCCAATCTGCTTACTGTCTGTCGTCTACAAACTTTTTACTCGAGTTATCCTGAACAAGATTGACAGAACGCTAGACGAAGGACAGCCATGTGAGCAAGCAGGGTTTCGAAGAGGATTTAGTACGATGGACCACATCCACACGGTAACACGGCTCATTGAAGTATCGCGAGAGTACAAAAGACCGCTCTGTCTCACTTTCATCGATTTACGGAAGGCCTTTGATTCAGTTGAGATAGAAGCAAACTTGGAAGCCTTTGATAGTGAAGGAGTCCCTACTCAGTACATAAAGATTCTTCGTGAGCTGTATAAGAAATTCACAACCAAGATATCACCATTCTACAACGATATTAGCATTTACGTCAAAAGAGGAGTTAGGCAAGGGGTTACCATCTCGCGGAACGTATACTTGACGACTTTGATAAACCCTGTGGAAATAATGGTCTTCGACTAAATCTCACAAAAACATGTTAATGAAGAACGGATTGGTTTTGCATGCCCCATTCACGCTCAACGGAACGAATATCTCCGATTGCTCCAGTTATATCCAGCTTGGTCGGGAAATCAATATGGTGAACGACTTAGCTCCAGAGTTGAGCAGAAGGAAACGAGCGGGTTGGGGAGCTTTCAAGAGCATCGAGGATTATAGTGGTGAGAACAAAGAACATCCGACTCCGTGCCCACCTTTTCGACTCAACGGTACTTTCTGCGTTAACGTATGCAACGGAAACCTGGTCGCTGCGTAAGCAGTATGAAAGGTCACTCAGCGTTATCGAACGGGCAGTCGAAAGGACCATGCTAGGAGTATTCCGTTCCACAAAAGGAAGAGATGGGACCCGAAGCTCCGATCTGCGTCAACGATCAAAAATCAAAGATGCCGTTCTGTACGCCAAACAGTCGAAGATAGGGTGGGCCGGACAAGTAATGCGTATGAATGACAACCAGCGGACAAGAGCCGTTGGTGACTGGATTCCTCGGGATGTCAAACGTACTGCAGGGTGACCACCGACTAGATGGTTAGAGTTCTTCACGAAAAGCGTAAAAGAAAGATATGATGGTCGACGAGTCCCTAGAGCAAGCAGAACCCAGTGGGCTACTCTTGCACGCGTCATGGAAAAGTGGAAGATTTACTGGCGCCCGCTCGAGTCACTCGACTATCGACGAGATTGCAGGTGATAGAGGTGATCAACAAGATCGTGAGAGCATACAAGTAAATATATCGGTTATTTACGCCGAGTTTTATGGAATATCGATCATTGGAGTTATACATGATAGCTTGTATGATAAAAATTTTAGCTGAAATAAACTTTAGGTAGATCATCTAGATCAGCACGACATTTACACATTGGAGATATTACCCGATGGTTGTTCAAACTCCATTCTAATTCGTCTAGCACATTGCACAACATGGCCAGATAAAGCCGTACCAGGCAGTGGTCGTATGGTTCTTCGTCTGTTAAAGTGGATGCAGGCACTTGATGCGGTAAGAATCTCACCTTGCGAACTACATTTCTTGCTAGTCTTAGCATCATTGTGGTGAAATGTTCCACGAAATCACTGCCTCAGGAGAATTCATAGAATAGACTCGTTACGAACTACTCGATTCTTATTTTATTAGTTCTTTTTAACAAAAACTTTGGTCGAAAACGAATGAATTCATTCGCTTTTTATTCGATTCTGCTTCAAGTTGGCGTCTGTGGCGGTGATCAGCGGAGCCGGTGTAGGACGAGCAGGTACATACCTTGCGATAGAGCAAGTTTGCACTCGACTGTTTAAAGGATTAGATGCTTCGGTAAGATTTCCCAAGTGTTCTTACTGAGCATTTTTTTCTGTCCACAATTTTTTTTGCGAAATTGGATCGCTTTGATTGGTTGCCTTTGTAGATGTAACCAATGCCAAGTATCTTCATTAGTATGATATTTGGCGTTATTATTCTACGAAGTGCAGTGTATCTCTAAGCCTAGCGCTAAACAGCCCAGATTTGCTGCATTGAACTTTAGATAATCATTGAATAGTTTGTTGAAAACTTATAACTGGCAGGCTTTCTTCACACTTTTAGGTTAAAGAAGTAGCTATCGAAATTCGCAAACAGCGTGCGCACGCTATATCGAATGAATTACAGTATCTGTTCATCTACTCGACAGTGCTTGAATACATTAGGGTAATGTCAAGTGAACTTTAGTTCTTTCTACTTCTGTTCAGCAAACACGAGGTGTTACTTTATTTCTTAATTCACGTACAAGCTGACGTTTCGGCGGATTTCGCCTTCCTCAGAGCCTGGAAAGGTCAAGTTGACTACAATCTATACGTCCGAACACCTCCATAACCAAGCAGAGAAAATGCTGAGCCAATTTTAGTCTTAGTCCATTTGCTTACAACAACCTGTCGTGTACACTTTCTTATACTTTCTGAGTTAAAAGAGGAGCCGTCTATCTACTAGGGTGATGGTGATAAGATAATATTCATTCTAAAATTCGAATATTGTATATTAATATTTTGTTGCATTGACAAGCTTACGCGAGGTTATTATAAACTTTATTTTAGCCCAAATAGTAATAAAAAGTTGCGGAAACCACGAAGTTTTATAAGGTCTTCGTTTTTAGCCACCCATATGTTCGAGATTATGCATGCCGTAGTGAAGTGAAAGCCACTGTTCAAAGTATTTTATTTTGTAGTTATCTCTTTAANNNTATTTTAGCCCAAATAGTAATAAAAAGTTGCGGAAACCACGAAGTTTTATAAGGTCTTCGTTTTTAGCCACCCATATGTTCGAGATTATGCATGCCGTAGTGAAGTGAAAGCCACTGTTCAAAGTATTTTATTTTGTAGTTATCTCTTTAAAATTCAGGCAAAAGTGCCAAAGTATCGCAACGCCGTGTCGAAATTCCACAGTGAATTAAGTCAAGTAATGTAACATGTTATAGATACATAAATTTAATTGAATAAAGATTGACAATTGTTCCCAAATAAGCACACACACACACACACACACACACACACACCGGACCGCAGGTGTCTGCGGTGGGGAACGAACCCGCTATTGTCCTTACCGAGGCTCAAGCGTTCATCACCACACCATGCGAGTCCTTCGCCTCTCTCAGCTATGTTATCGACCTAAAGGCGCTATCAGCAATCACCTGTTGTCAACGGGTTTGATCTGGCAAACACAAATGCGCATTAACCCAGTTAAGATGAAGCTATGGTGTAAATCACAATGTCGTCGTTGACGTGGTGAATGCGTTAGCCCTCTGAAAGGGTAATAGCGTGTTCACTCGCCACCGCAGACACTAGCAGTCCGGAGTTTTGCAAATATCTCAGCAACATTATGGTTATATTTCATATAACACCTTATCAAAAAATAAAAAATAGAAAAACGGGCAGTAAATAAAAATTGACGACATTGTTCCTAAACTGTGTAACATCTGTGCGGTTAGAAATTTCCAGTACTTCAACTATGCGACTATTTACGTGAAGAGAGGAATTTGACGGGGCGGTAATAATAGCACACTAAAGCAACGATCGGTTACAACCTGTTTTTGAAGGATCGTCTCTAACTGAACTTGTGCTTCGGTGAATTATGTTTGTCGAAAGCCCAAGTGCGACAATAATGCTAAACAGTATCTCGTTTCAAAAATATGTGAAAAGAATCCATAGCTCCATAACTTCCATAACTTAAGCCGATTACCAGCGATCACGTATGTTCTTAAATACATCTAAATCTCAAAAATTAACTTCTATTATACCTTGCATAAGTAATGTATGTAATGTTCGTCAGCCAGCAAGCACGAACACTTGGCGATTGCATGGTCCAGGTGCTCTCAGAGTGTTATTGGACAAGTACTATGACGACTTTTTTTTACTAGGAAGGAATGTGTTTTCGTGTCTATGGAACGATTAAAACCCATTAAGAAATGGAAGGAAAGTAGTGAACCACTTGGGATCTTGATAAGGCCAATTTAAATGTGAGTTAGAGACGACGGTTATCGCAAATAGCTAGTAACGATAAATTTAATCATAATAATGATCAAGGCCTTTCTTCTCTTGCCGTCTCTTCCTTTTGTTCGTGGAATTCTTTTAGAGTAAGTCGCAGCGCAATGGTAACGCACAAAAAATTGTATTACAGAATTTACTCATCTCACTTAGAAGTAAACGATGTTATAGTGAATTTGACAATCGTGTTCAAAACGTCCCAAACATTTCGAAACTTACAGTTTTAAACAAATTTACTGTTGTGTTTTTAAAGTTTCTATTACACTGTAGTGTATATTTGTAGTGTTATTAGTAAATAAACGAGCTAAGCGTAGCACTTGAAGAAATCTGTGATGAAGGTGATCTGGAATACTTGCTTTGTCTGCATATCGTAGTCGGATACCTAAAATAGAGATACTTATGACAGGTCAGTAGACCCAACAACTCCGTATATTTTACATCGCAGAAGATAAGCAATAAATCGTTCGGCGTTGATCAATTGCTGAGGGATGCGCCGGTCATTCAACTCGATTCGTGGCATCATAGAGGTATTTGAATACACATCCGGTCTATGCAATGACTGGTTATGGCCTAGTAATGTAACAAGTCAGTGTTCTCATCCACTCAGACAACTCTTCTACCAATTTGCCAATCCCGGAGGCATGGAAAACTTGGTTAGCCCGGAGTATTGGATCGATTCAGCGATTGCATATATATTGCAGGACACTAGTGACCGTTGCGACACACACACACGTTCCGCGCCGTATTCGGGGGTAACAACTTCCGTTATCATCTAACCATAACAGGCTCCTGATCATAGGTTTCGGGCTGCAATGTACACTCCGGAGATTATCTAAGCTGAGGAATCCAGAATTTTTATATTTTACCTTTCAAAGCTCAACTAAGAGTAGACTTGGCCATAGCAAAGCCAGGTGAGCTATCTTGTCACCAAACACTAAATATCAAGAACCATATTTGAATAATGGAATACTCCTATCTATGAAGCGACGACAGTCCTGTGGGCAACATTGTTGAGCGACGAGCAGTAGTTGAAACTTGTACACAGTTAGTTATATAAAAATAATGGAACAATTCCTCGATATTTCTCACTCACCGTTTTTTCGTCGAACATCCAATATCTGTTGCTGTTTCGTAAGTCTTCCAATACACCAGATCGTAGATCATTCGGTAAATTCGGGAAGTATCGTGTTTTATCATTTAGGAATGTTGGCACGTTATCGAGCACACTGTATGTAGCAAAAACATTACCCTTAAAAGAATTTAGGGTTACTCATATGTTTTCTTTGTTAGTATTCACTACTTTGCCTGCTAAGAAGAAGCTCTAAAGGGATAATATTTTAACATTTAGTTACCGAAAGAAGAATAACGCTTCCGTTAGTCAGTGGGAAAGCCGCCTGTGGGTAGAAAAGTACTCGTTCGTGTAATTCTCTAGGGAAATCTGGTGCTTCACTGAAAAAGTGGAGCTTCTCCATCTTACTAAAAAACAAATCTCCATCGCACTGGATATATATCTTTTAAATTGCGATAAGCAAGTGTATGTGACATGTATTCTATGGTATTGAGTTGCTGTTATTACTACTCTCAGTACCAATCATTTTTTGATAATCTGTAATGCAATTAATCATCGGACGACTCCAATAGGAGCCAATATACTCCCATTCGTCCGCGAGAGAAATTGTTGAGTTCTGCCCACATAGGGGCTAAGTGTCCTTGCATGTTAATGGTCTCTCGGAGAAGACGTGGACGCATTTGCTAAAGGTGGTGCAGAATCGCGTTCTTGTCACTTGCATGGTCAAGGCGGAATCGGGGTGCAGGACACAATTATCGTATGTGTTGGATCAACTGCCTATATATGCATAAACATTATTAAACATAAAATTTACTCGGACGCAGCAAAACACTCGAGACTATCTGAATCCAACCGAGTCATAGGTCCAGCGCATGGTCATCTTTGATCGGCTTCCCTCTTTAACCCATATTATCATACGAACTCTTCATTTGCACTAAGATGAAAAGATCAAAACAATTTGTCTAGTTTTACTTTGTATGACCCGTCTTAACCTCTACTGTGCGGATCCCAGCACTTCTCACATCCAATTCGTTTCCTCGCATCCTTAATCCACGAAAATCCTTCAACTTTTACGTGTTGCTTTGCCACTGCCTAAGGGCTTTCATTTCATCTTGTCGTAGAATGCTGGTCGAGCCGATTTTTCCTGGTGGTTTTCTCTCAGGCAAGTCCAATACCAATTTCCCGACCCCAGAGTAATGAAAGGGTTGGTTGGCGCGGAACGGGATCGTACTAGCAACATGCTTGTGACACAGACATCACCACCACTCTGCTACCCGCCCCATAGACCAAAACAAAAGTTTGTAAAGTCATAGAAGTTAATTTCAATAATGCTGAGATATTTGCAAAACTCCGGACCTTATAAAAAAGCAAAAACTTATAACTAAATCCTTAGTTTAACTCGGTTCATTGTCGATTTACGCTGCCCAGTTCAATCTCGCTGACGGGTGATTGCTGATGGCGCTGACCGATAGAACTAACTGAGAGATAGGCGGAATGAAGGACCCGCATGGTGTGGTGGTGAACGCGTTACTCACCGAAAAGGACAATAGCGCCTTCGTTCTCCACCGCAGACACTTGCGATCCGGAGTTTTGCAAATATCTCAGCATTATTGAAGTCATATTTTACAATATACCCTGCCGTTACAATGAGTAGACAGTAAGTAAGACGGTTAAAATCATAGAAGTTAATTATTGTTGAGGTTAATCGAAAGTCCCTCTTCAACACACTTGTTTGCTACCTAGGAACATGCCATTCATTAATCAGCTCAAATTTTCATATGACATCTCAGAGTTTAATGTTCTTCTTACTGTTATTATTTTTTGTCACCTATTTTTATGTTTTTAACTGAAACCAAAATTATTACCTGAAAGTAACTCCGTCGTATTCATATCCGTATATAGTTCTTTCAACGAACAGCAAAACTAAATTGCCTGAAGTTACTGTTGCGTTCACGAATCCGGGTGCTTTAGGGAATACCTAGGAAGCGTCAAAGATGAAATATCGCTAGAATTTATTGTTATTAAGCAGTTATTTTATTTTAGAAATATTGATCTTTTGCTTTTGCAAATGACCGGCCTAAGAGACCGAAGATAAATCTGCTAAATCTGCTGACTAAAATCGTCTAGTTTGTATAGCATTTGCCTAGATGAAAAATGATTATACAAAACTAATTTGATAGTTTAACCCATGTATGATAAAAGACTTACGTCCTGAATTTTCCTTCCGTTGTCGACGAATTTTCTGCCCTTTATGCGGTAGACGTTATTTTCGTAGAATACCATCCACTCGTCCTTTGTCACTTTAAAAAGATACATTTTTTGAACTGGGTATTCGAAACAAAAAGTGTTGCACTAACGCTAGTTAGGCAATGAATTTTTTCATGCTTAAAGTGGAACATCTGGCCGAAAGCTAACGTACTAAAGGACTATCACTGAAAACACAACTCTTAGAGATGTCTCACCTCGCAAGACAGAGTCGATCTGCTTGGGACATTTCTTAAGCATGTGCTGATCGTTAACCAATTTCTTTTCGTTAATGTTTGCGAGACCTGTAAGCATAGTGATTTCTTCCACATATTCTAGTAGATGGTTGGCATCTAGTTCTTAGTAGTTAGAGGTGTCTGGAATACACATTGATTTGTTTGCTGGTTCGATTCCGCGCCGCCGGTAAATCTAACCCTCTGTTCCTACGGGTAGAGAAATTAGACTGTTCTGAGAGGCTAGAAACATCAACTCGATAAGTCGTTATGTCATTGCAAGTTATTGTGCAGGCCAGAAATGCATTTAAGCATTTCTACTAAGCTACGAACAGAGTCGAATGCATAACGTATTCCTAAGAGATAGACCAACGCGAACGCTTTACGTTTTATTCTTTACTCTGGCAGATTTATTGGGCTCAAGTCTGTGGTCCACAGCCTTCTGTCCTCAAGTTGTAGGCCTTATAAAAAATCGCAACTATTTATCTACCCTATTGCATACTTCGAGATTAGAAACAACACGACCACACCAGAACAAAACGAAGTCACCTTTTTACTTACGGTTACAACCACAGCGGTAAAGAAGGCATTATTGATAGAATCACATTGTGGGCCACACTTACAGTTAGGCAAAAACTAATAGACTTAGTTAATTAGTCATATTTCCAACTAAAACAGCATATGTAATGCCCCCGTAAACGGGATTGATCGGGTGATTGCTGATGGCAAAAAGATCGATAGAACTAGCTGAAAGACAGGCACGACGAAGGACCCGGATGGTGTGGTGATGAAGTGCGCTGCTCCCCGGTAAGGACAACAGCGCGTATTCGTTCCCACCGCATACACCTGCGGTCCGGAGTTTTGCAAATATCTCAGCATTACATACGAGTTATATTTCGCAACATACTCTGCCATTAAGAAGAAAAAAGGAAGTAAATAAAAGGGTTAAAATAGCATATATCAATTTCAGAGCTAACCGACTACTTCGTATTCTTGTTGAGCAAACGCGAGGTGTTACTTTTATTCTTTATTCACGTATAAACTGACGTTTCGGCGGATTTCACCTTCCTCAGAGCCTGGAAAGGTCAAGTTGACTGCAATCTATTCGGCCAAACACCTCCATAGCCAAACAAAGAAAACGCTAAACCAAGATTTCAATCACACTGAACACAGTTTTGCACACTCACCGCTTTCTATGAGGTTTCCACTAAGTATGTCACGTAGAGACCAACCGCACAGAAGTCACATGGAAGTATAATGTGCCCCTCCCATCAGAATAGAAGTCTTATATACTGCCCTATATCACGCGTGATAATGAGGCATTCTTCCCTGCGGTTCATTTTCGGATTTCTGGAATTAATCCAGAACGCCTCGAGAGTTTTGCGCCCTTGTGTTCTTGATTCCTGTGCGAGGGTCGTGACACGAACTTCAAAGTCCTCCCCGTTATATCTCTGGGTCCTATGCGTGCCTAGCGGGATATTTGGTTTATGTTTACCGGCTAGGTGTTCCTTTATGCGGACACAAAGGTCTGCCTGTTTCGCCAATGTATTCATCTCCGCACGAATTACAGGAGATCAGATAAACTATACCCGAGCTCATGCAATCACCGTCTTTACCGTTGGGGCAAATTATACAATTTTGCGTTGCACATAGACGGTCATATAGGCGGTTACCAACTAGCGGGCGCCTAAGAGTACTCGGTGGAATTTCAACTATGTTTACCGAATTCTCTAAACCCGCCCTTCTTAAGCAGCGTTTTATAGCTGTACTTATATCATTTGAGATGAAGGGTAGGATAAATGGGACCTTTTTTATCGCTAGCGTTGTCGTTTGGGGGCCTAGGATTTCCCCTACACCTATCCCGAGCTGCAGTTTCGTAGCCATTAGAAATGGTTATTTGCCGCGCCAAGTTCCGGGACTCCTCTCTCTGTTCTCTTCCCGTGCACACGGTTGCTGTTTGAAACATGTTTTTTACAAGCGCCCTTTTCGTGTGAGAGGGGTGAGAAGAGAGGTGATGAACCAAGATGTTCTTACTACTTGGCTTTCCGCCGAAGAAGGCGAAATCCGCCGAAACGTCAGCTTATCCGTGTATAAGGAATAAAAGTAACACCTTGCGTTTGCTCAACAAGAACACGAAGAATTACTTGATAAATGCCGAGGTTAATAAAAAGTTGCTCGTGGGAGTAACCGACTACTTTTTTATGAGTACCAGATCCAACGAAGGTTTTTTGTCCATAGGAATAGCTGCCATAACCTGAATTTATCAATGGTAGAAATATAGATATTAGTAGCATGCTAGACTTTGGTGATTGAATATGTTGATGGAGATATTTTAGCTATATGAAGATGGGATGATTGCGCCGAATTACATAGCGACGAACCTGATGGACAGCTTTATAACGTGGGCGTCAGAACAGCTGCGACCGACCTATGAGCCATTTTTCTTCAACGATAACCACATCGATATGCGGAAAGCGATGCTGTGGTGCAAGAATGCACAGATACCCATTGCCTAAACTATCCAGCGCTGACCAACTAATTCTCCTATCTCGTCGGTGTAGATAAATTGGTGCTTGGAAAGAGATCCCTTCGATCCAGCGACTGCTTGTGGTAGACACCTGGTAAGGCCCTAACGCACTAGATGTTTCAGGACTCTGGACAAAGTTTGCTCTAGCAGCATTCAACAGCATCTATGAGGAATAGAAAGTTTCTAGTGACCCACTTGAAGACCTTCATGGGTGACGGATTCGAGACAACGAACCTAATGAGAGAACTACTGGAATGCGCGGGATATGTGAAGTCAGGTCATATAAATAAAATGAAGAAAAATAATCACATCGGATGTTTCCGACCGGATGATACTCACTCTGCAAAATATATGAATTTACGCACAATTCTACTAAGCAGTGCCAAGCTCTATCCTATGTATTCTCTACCAAAGTCAATTTTTCGGTAAAGTACCGTCGAAGCATGTAAGGAACTCAGTTCAACATATATTCTGTTGCCGCTCATAGAAAGTCTAAACCTGCCGTTGTGATTGAATAACGTTAAAGAAGTGAAACATAACACACCGTATAACCTGCGTAAGGATAATTTGTCGACATTGGGAATCTTATCTAAGAAACTGTAGGGAACTAGTGCTGGTTTCAGCATCGGATACATTATCGATCTAAAAATTTCAGTTATATAAACTGATATTGATGCTCATTGATTGTTAATCAATAATTCTAGAGCGCTTACCCACGATAGAAATTGTGCTGCAATCCAAGCGTATGTCCAATTTCATGAAGTAGTGTATGGTATAGAGAGATTCCACTCTAAAATTAAGACTTATCGGTATTCTCTTCATCATAGAACTCAAGATATTCACACACTTCTCGATTTTTGCTACGCTACACGCTGTGTAGTCTATTTCATAGGCATTGATTTTCTTGCGGTGATAATCAGCAGCATTGTTACACTTAGTAAGAATTATACGAGTGTGGTTTGTTTGTTGTCATAGCATAAAGCAGTAGCTTTGAGTTGTTTTTCTTAACAGTTATTCATCGAATCTGAACCACGTCTCAGGTCAAAGATATGATAAGAAGTGTTCTAAAGTTATGGACGACAGAAGGAGTAATTCGTTTATTTTACTTTTAAACTAAAAAAAAAGTCGAACATACTGGAATGTGGTTGCGATAACCCCATAGCAGATTTTTATTCAAAGTGATCCAGCTCTTCAACGGTGGTGAAGAAGCAGCGGCAACTAAATCGTATTCGATTGAAGCAATTCAAAATCTAGTTCACTATTTGGATACTTGGGTACTTGGACGGCTCTTCGTCATTGGTTGTGCGGGCCTCAGCATAATCTCCATTTGTCGGAGATTTGCTGGTTAAGCTATTGTGGTCCTCTGAAGTCCCAAGCTCAGCCTAGCTAAAGTCTGCTCCAGGTCGTCACCACCACAGCCAGTAACCGCCGTTGTGGATCAGAGGGAGATTTGCTACCATTCTAGTTCTAGATCTAGTTCATTATCACTATAGTCATTTCACACAATATGTTCTACTTTTTTCTAATTATTTATGACAATATAAATCAAAAGCTGCTATTGTACTTGGTCATTCATACTCCAGGCGCGATAAATTTCTACAAAACACGGCTGCAAAAGGCAAAACATTCATTCTTACGTGCTGTTAACGGTTTGATTGGTTATGGGCCAACGTAGATCATTCTGTGGACTGCCGTAGATCTACTAATTTAAAAGGATAAAAGGATAAAGCTCTTGGCGTTGATCAATCCCTAAGGAATGCGCCATGCATTCGACTTCACTATGTACCGTTGGAGATGACTGAATGCATATCTGGTCTTTACAATGACTCGCAGTGGCCTACCAATGTATCAAGCCAGTGCTGCTATCCTCCCAGACAAGTCTGATACCAATTTGTCGACACCGGAGTGATGGAAGGCTTGGCGAGCCACGGGCACGTAGATCGATTCCACGTGTGTGTCGCAGTGGCGCCTCCAACCATTGTGCCACACGCGCCCGTATTTACCAATTTAGTACTTAGTAAAGTTGCAAAACAATTCAGAAAATCGATAAAAGAAGATCTTAAAAAGAGAAGAGCAGCAGTAAAGGTCGAAGCGGCAGAGGTTGGGAAAGGCATTTGCAAAGCCCACCGAAGCTTCGCCAATTACAAGACCAAAATGATTGCACTCCGGCGCCCAGACGGATTAGTTACAGCGTCCAGAAAGGCAATGGAGGAAATCATTCACGAATACTACTCGGATTTCTTCGATAGGCACGTCAGCCTTCCGTCACATGAAATAAAGGAGGATGGATATGTTGTACCACCCGTTCTCCTTTTCGAAATCCGACATGCCATTTCGTGGGTTAAAAATCGAACAGCACGAGCTCCGGACGGGATGAGATCATAACACTTGAACAACCTTCCGCCAGTCCTCGTAAACACACTGGCTCGGCACTTCACACGTTTCCTGTCCGAATGCAAGGTCCCTCAGTGGAAGACCAGCAAAACCGTGCTATTGTCCAAGAAGAGTGACCTACACGATATCGGCAACCATCGCCCAATCTGCTTACTGTCAGTCGTCTTCAAACTTTTCACTCGATTCATGCTAAACAGGATTGGGAGAACACTAGACGAAGGACAGCCACGTGAGTAAGCAGAGTTTCGAAAGGATTTAGTACGATGGATCATCTCCACAAGATAACAAGACCCATTGAAGTATCGTGAGAGTGCAAAAGACCGCTCTGTCTCACTGCCATCGATTTAAAGAAGGCTTTTGACTCTGTTGTTCTCTTTTTTACAGCAATCGCGAGATTGTTATTCAGCGCGTTTACTTCCTTACAAAAATAACACACAACACAACAATAGCTGACGTTTCGGCAGTATCGCCTTCTTCAGAGCCTGGAAGGGTGCACTAATATGTAATTTACTAGGTCAAACGCTTCAACAACGCAAACAAAAAGATGAAAATTTGAACAATAATTGCACGATCACCGGTGTCCCAAAAACCCACCGTTTTTTACCTGCCTTCCACCGAGGAACATCCGACATGATTGACTACTGCACCACCCCACATCAAGAGATATGGGGCTAGATCACGCGTTATCGCAGGACATTCTTCCCTGCTATTCATTCTCGGATTTTTGGGATAGATGACGTAGATACTGTTTGCTAAGCTTCTGGCTTCACATATTCGCTTATTATCGATGCACTTTACTGAATAAAGTTTAAAAGTAGATTTTTCTTTGTATTCTCTCGTTTTCAACACTACGTACGGCTTCTTGAAATCGCCACAGGGATATGTAGTCTAACAATTTCGCATGTTTTACACATTTTAGATAATTTTCGAATAGACTTCATATAACTGGGTAGAACGTTTCAGATCAGAAACAAAGCCACTGGGAAGTAACTAAACGCATTAGAGAATCGATTTGTTGTAAATTGTAAATTACCGTTGAGAAATGAATTTGGCAATGCATCGAATAAAATAACGATATCAGCTTTCGTAGCGTTGTTGGTTTCAAGAAAATCGATGTCAGCAACTTGTCGCCACTTCTCGAATGCCTCATCACAGGCCGCTCTGGGATCAATCAATATTTTTTAAACTAGTTACATTGAAAAAAACGTTTAGTTGATAATGCATGTCTGCTTTTCTGTTGAACTTCTAGTAGGATTCGCATTTGCTTTGACGTAACCTTTTCTTCTGCTAACCATTACAGTATTATTCTGCGCTCTCTTTATTGACGGTAGCGCCACTTGTTTCCGAGGCTAGAAATTAGTTAAAATTTTTGTGAAGAAGAGAAAAATAATGAACGTGCCTTGTCTGTGACTCGGTGAGAAATAATGGAAAAGAGGTGATGTTCCATTGAAGTGCTCTTTTCCTCCATAGTTCAGTTTTTGGAAGATCTTCAATGAGAGGAATGACATTTTTTTTCTTTGCGTCAACAGTAAAAGTATAAATGATAAAACGAAGCGACAAGACATTAACACTGCCCTCGTAGCGACCATAAATAACTGTGATGGCTCCGTTTTGTTATCGTTGGATATGTGTAGACGTTTCTTTAAACCAGTTACCATATTATTACAGTACTGGAGAACTGTTTGTCGGGACATATGATAGGTAAGTATAGGTAAAGTACAGATAATTCGGAAGTGTTGGTGTTTTTTTGTCAACGCGAACTTGATCAAAACATCGATTCTCATGGAGTAACCCAATTTGGAACTCTGAATTAAAAAGAAGAAAGAGTGCATTCTAATGTCTTCTACTACAGTTAAAAGCGCGCATGTGGCGGAGTGGTTGGAGGCGCCACTGTGACACACACGTGGAATTGATTTCAGCGCCTATGGTTCACCAAGCCTCCCATCCCTCCGGTGTCGGCAAATTGGTACCAGACTTGTCTGGGAGGATAGCAGTATTGGCTCGATACATCGGTAGGCCACCGCGAGTCATTGTAAAGGCTAGACATGCATTCAGCCACTTCCAACGATACTTAATGAAGTCGAATGCATGGCGCATCCCTCAGGGATTGATCAACGTCGAAAGCTTTTTTTTATTTACTACAATTTCCATTACCTACTCCAACTGAATGAAGCGGAAAATGAAGTCGAGGCATTCTATACGGACTTGGGAAAGCGTTGGAAAAGAGATCACCGCTGCATTGTAATCATCATATCGGGAAACAAGGAGTAGGATGGTGAACTGCCTGAGCTTACTATGACTACCAACATGCTAGGAAACAATTTGAGAAACCGTCTTCTAAACGATGAGTATGGAGTATAATGGCAAGATTGGCCACATCGTAATAATTCGAAAATTTTGCCCAGCTGTTGTCGCTGTTGTCGCTGTTGCCCCAATTCTCTAAACGAGAACTAAACATCGCTTGTATCGTGCGAGTTCTTCCCCGGAAAAAAAGAAAAAGACCTATAATTCAGAAAATGAGATCCGAATCTTTTATAAAGTTGTTCAGTGTCTACTTCTCTCACCAACTTATGGGATGGTATTATAATCACAATGTTAACTTTTTATTCCCTGCCTACTACAATTTTTCACGGCACGGTGTGATGTGAAATACAACCACAGTGATACTGAGATATTTGCAAAACTTGGATCCCAGGCCAAGTCGAACCATAATAATCTTTTCCGGCGGCTCGCATGTTACACATTGCACCAATGAGGCTTCTGATTTGTCTTTCTTCCTGCTATTTATCTACGTACCGGTGCCCTCAGCAGTCACCCGTCAATTTGATTGATCCGGGGAGTACAAATCGGCATTGAACAGAGTTAGGCTGAAGGTGTATTCGAAATCACAATATACCACTTTTACAGCCTGGAGTTTGAGTTTGCAAATATCTCAGCCTCGTTGTTGTTATATTTCACATCAGACCGTGCTGTGAAAAAAAATGATATAGACAGTGAATAAAATGTTGTGCACTGTGATTACGACTACAGCCTCAACTTAATTGAGTTCAATGCCAATTAATGCTCCCCAGATCAATTCCGCTGGCAAGTGACTGCTGATGACGCCGTTAGGCAGAAAACTAGCTAAGAGAAGAGCAGATCGAAGGCCTCAATGGCTCAGTGTATAACACTCAAGTGCCCGGAAAAGGTAATCGTGGTTTGATGCCGCCTGCGGTCTAAGTTTTGCAAATATCTTGACATCATTGTCATATTATAATCGATAGCATTGCTGGAGAATATTAAAGGATCGATACCTTCCGCGATAGTTCCCCACGAAAGTCGAAAGTTTCGATCTCAAAAAGATATTCACTTTATAACTTGGCACTTGATACGTGAACGACCTGTCCTAACTGGTTGTGCTAGCCACAGCATAATTTCCATTTTTCGGAGACTTGCTGGTTCAGCAACTGTGGTTCCCTGGAGTTCCGAGGACAGCCTGGCCATGTCTACTCCAAGTTTTCACCACCACAGGCAGTCGAAGTCCTTGTGGATCAGAGGAAGATTTGCCACCATGCGACTTTGATATCAGGACGGTGGTGGGTACTGGTACTGGTTTACTCTTAGCTAGGCTTACCGATGGAATCCCCCGCTGTAAATAGCAGTCCGAAATCCAGGATCACCTCCCAGCCAGGATAAGGCGGCAAACCGCCGTTGGGAGGATTCACCTTATAAACACAAAGCAAAATGCCAACTTGCACCTATCGAAGGCAATCATCAAATCACGTTCGAACTGGATGCTTTCTCGTCAAAATGGTTTATTAACATAACTCAACCATGTCAAAGTATCTCAGTAAGGCAAACAAATGCTAAAGCCTTCTTCTTTATATTTGTTGTGACCTCAAAATTACGGACTATTACGGATAGGCTATTACCATATACTTCCTTCGATCATTATTACCAAGTAGCACTTTGATTATTATTACAAATGTAGGAAACTATTACCACGTAGTTGTTGGCCATCGGACATGTCCTTGTTGCCACATCGATATTCAGATATCTTCGAGTGTGTAGGGAGATCCACTATACCGGATTGATAGAGAAGAAAAGCTTTTTGAAATCGCCTAAATCATGATTGTGCTAAAATGTAATTCGGATACCTCCACCAATGGAACAGTCATTTCTTTTAATCAATCAGAAATGTGAGATTGCTTGTAAATCCCTTCTCCATTGGATGTCTGTTAGCCAGGAAAGTTATACTCAGAATTCTTGTCTCTTAAAGAAGTTACTGATTCACTTCAACATAAGCACATCCTGTTCCTTCCAATATCTTAGAAACCGACTTCTATTAAACCAAGCTAACAATAACCAATAATTTTCTAAATGACTGAGTTGACACGAAGTTGTAATATGTAGTTCTTCGCATTTTCGCTTTTTGGTATGTTTAAAGAAAAACAATTTAATATAAGGTATCTCGGAAGTTGTTAAGTCCTCACCCGTTGTGGTTAGTATGTGTTCACTTTCTTATAAGTACTAGGTTATCTACCAAGGTCCTATAACATAACTCATTATCTACATTTTTTTGCTTGAATCTTACAAAAGTGCTGTCTTTAGATCTTCTTCGTTAGGGAACTGCGATTTCTGTGAGCCTTCATTGAGAGCTTTTGGTTGTGACATGTACCCAAACGTTGCCAAGTACTGCTGGAATGTGGTAAATTCAGAAGTAAACAAAAAATAACTAAAGAAAGAAATAGGAGAGTCCATGAAGAAGGAAATTACCAAGCAGTCACGTACTTTAGCTTCCTTTTCGATGATCGTTTTCACTTTTAGTTTGTCAAGTAAGCCACTTGTACCAGGAGCTCCACCATCACATAAACGATGAAGGATCACCAGCATCAACGTTGTGACTGTTAATAACAGCCGCATCCTGTCCGCTGTAGATTTTCCCAAATATTCATTCCATCCACTTTGGTTGAATAGTAGTAAATATGTGGAAAAAAATTATTAAGGAGTGCATATTAACGAAAGCATCAAAATCGACTCATGTTTATAATACAAAGAAAAATAGCTGAACCTAAGGTGCCATGCTGTAACGGAACCGTTAAAATACTCAGTAATGCTGCATTTATTACAGTACTTGGGTTTAAATCGCTTTCGTGCACAACAAACTTTATGAATGTGATTATGATCACATACATTAGAGCCGCGGATCTCCCTCGTAGAGCGATTTCATGCCGGTTTGTTGCAAGGCAATGTTGCGCATCCATAGGTGGCGGACAGAGGTTAATCCCTGAGCAAAAGAGACCGTTGGCCTCCCTGAGGCGCGGATCGATCCAGGAGATGCACACCTGTTTCTGCTGTGCCGATTTGGCACATACCTTCTGTATTTGCGAGAATGCAATCACGCATGCATGAGTGGGTGCGTTATCCTTTACATGGATGGTGCTGCACGAGCGAATTCAGCCAGACCCTGCATTCAAGTGATAGGGAAGTATAAGGGAGGCGGATACCAGCCTCCTCCTACAAATCAGCTCCCCTTCTACTCTGGTAAAGACTGGCAATCTATCCGTGAATATACCCAGCAATAAGGATAAGGTACGATGTCATCGGCCTGCACGAGACGAGACGATGCCACTCATTCAACGCCGTCCATGACACAGGAGATGAACTGTTCCTTGGAACATGCAACAGCAGAGGAGTTGGTGGCGTCGGCGTTTTCGTCAACACAAGTTTGTCCATGAACATCGACTCATTCGAACAACTAACAACGCGAATCGGACGTTTACGATTGAACAGATGTAGATCAACACCCAATTTGACAATTTTCGTCGTCTACGTAACTATGCACCAACATCAAGCTACGACGAAAACGAAGTCGAAGCATTCTGTATAGACTTGGAGAAGTTCTAGAGCGAACACTATACGTTCTTAAAGATCATCACTGGAGATTTTAACGCTAAGATTGGACCAAAAAGAACGTCTGAAGAACGTCACATTGGGATCCACGGATTACAATGGAACGAACAGGGTGAGCAGCTCTCTGAGTTTATCATGACGACCAAGGCCATCCATGGTAACTCGCTATTCCAGAACCCCACCCTCAAAGCTGGACGTGGGAGTCGCCCACTGGAGAGTACCATAACTTAATAGACCACAGCATAGTAAATAGAAGGTTTTGCCTAACCGATGTCGCTGTTGTCCCAAAATTCTACACGGGATCAGACCATCGTCTCCTTCGTGCAAGATTCCATTTCTCGCGGAAGCGAGAAAAAGCCGCTAAATTCCAAAACCGAATTCCCAGAACCACAGTAAACTGGGATTTATTCAATTCATTAGTCGGCTGTTAGGAAGATGCCGCTGTTGAATGGCAAAGAATACGATCGGCCCATTCAACATGATCACGTTAGCTCTATGAAAGCTGAGAGTTCGAGAGTTACCAAGAGATGTCTGTCTCCAGACGTACTCGAGCTGATACCTTGGCTTGGAATCGTAAGAACTTCATGCAACTGCAACCTAAAGTTCAAGCTTGGAAAACAATGCAGACAAGCGATAAAAGAAGATTTTAAGGAGAGAAGAGCAGCACTAATGCTCGAAGCTGCAGAGGCTGCGAAAAGCATTCGCAAAGCCCACCGAAGCCTCCCCAACTACGAAATCAAGATGAATGCATTCCGACGCCCAGACAGAACACTTACATCGTCGGGAGAAAATCAGTCGCTATTATTACTCAGATCTTTTCGATAGCCACGTCCACCTTCCTGCGAATGAAATAAAGGAGGATGGACATGTTGTACGACCAGTTCTCCCTTCCAAAATCCGACATGCCATATCGTCGGTGAAAAATCGAACAGCACCAAGTTCGGACAGGATAAGACCAGAACACCTGAAAAACCTTCCGCCAGTCCTCACAAACACACTGGTTCGGTTCTTCACATGTTACCTGTCTGAATGCAAGGTCCCTATTCAGTGGAAGACCAGCAAGACCGTGCTACTGTTCAAGAAGGGTGACCTCCACCATATCTACAACTACCGCCCAATCTGCTTGCTGTCTGTCGTCTATAAAGTTTTCACTCGAGTCATGTTGAACAGGAATGACAGAACACTGGACGAAGGGCAGCCATGTGAGCAAGCAGAGTTTCGAAAGAGATTCAGTACGATGAACCACATCCACGCAATTACAAAACTCATTGAAGTTTCGTGAAAGTACAAAAGACCGCTGTGTCTTACTTTCATGAATTTAAGAAGGCCTTTGACCCAATTGAGATAGAAGCAATCATGGAAGCGTTTGAGAGTCAAGGAATCTCTACTCAGTATTTAAAGATTCTTCATGAGCTGTACAAAAATTTCACAGCCAAGATCATCACTCTACAACGATATTACCACTGAGGCCAAAAGGGGAGGGCGATACCACTTTGCCAAAATTATTTACGCCACCCTCTGCGTCATTCGAACACTGGAGTGGGAGAAAGTGAAACAAAGAACATCGGACTCAGTGCCCAGCGTTTTCACTCCACGATACTTCCTGCCTTAACGTACGTGTTAGAAACCTGGTCACTGCGTAAGCAGGATGAAAAATCACTCAGCGTTATTGAATGCGTAATCGAAAGGGTAATGCTAGGAGTATCCTGTTTCACACAAGTAAGGGAAGGTATCCGAAGCTTCGACCTGCGTCAACGATCAAAAATCAAAGACGCCGTTCTGTGCGCCCAACACTCGAAAAAAGATGGGCTAGACACGTAATGTGTATGAATAACAGCCAATGGACAATAGCCATTAGTGACTGAATTTCTCGGGGTCTCAAGCGCACTGCAGGTGGACCACCAAGTCGACGGTCAGGGTTTTTCACGAAAATCCTAAAAGAGGCGTATGATGGTCAACGCGCTCCTAGGGTGAGCAGAACCCACTGGGCCATTCTTTCACGCGACAGGGAAAAGTGGGAGGTTCACTAGCACCTGTTTAGATCACTAATCGATCAACAAGACGGCAGCTGATACAGATGCAAACGTAGTTCGCCAAATGAAGAACTAGAATAAGTCTAAGGGAAAAATGAGCAACAAGTGTGATAATAATTGTGATTATATGGTAATTTGAATTTTATAGAGCCTACTCCCATGTCTCATGAGTCTGAGGATAAATTTTTAACTTATTATTTATTGCCTACTCTTTTTAACGGCAGGATAAATATTGCGAAATATAAATTTATTGCTGCTGAGATATTTGCAAAACTCCGGACCGCAGGTGTCTGCGGTAGGGAACGAACGCGCTATTGTCCTTTCCGGGGAGTAACGCGTTCACCACCATTGTTCGTTCACCATTGGGTGATTGCTGATGGCAAAAGATCGATAGAACTAGCTGAGAGACAGGCGAAACGAAGGACCTGCATGGTGTGGTGGTGAACGCATTACTCCCCGGAAAGGACAATAGCGCGTTCGTTCCCTACCGCAGACACCTGCGGTCCGGAGTTTTGCAAATATCTCAGCATCATTAAAGTTCTAGGCATAAAGTCTCATGTAAGGATAGCAAGCATTTCCCAGCAGATTGAGAATTGACTTCTTTAAACGCGACCCATCATTCACATCTTCTGTGATGGTCCCAGCACTTTCCAGATTCGTTTTGTTTCGTTGAATTGAAAGTGATGCATTTAAAGATTCAGACGCCGATTTGAAGTTCATAGATTCCATTCTTAGCGCGCAACTAGCAGAGTGTTAATGACGCCGATCATCGTATGCACGGTGCTGTTTTGACACTGTTCTAGGCCAAACAACAGTCTCATCTCTCCGGACTCGGTAAATTGGTACCGGATTTATCTGAGAGAACTTCACTCTCTGCAGACCAAGTGGAAACTCTCGAACCCAGATGTCATAAGACTTCAGAGAGAATCGGCTCAACCAGCACTCAGCGACATTGGTGATGAAAGCGAAAATCTTCAAGCAGCAGCCAAATCTGTACACAAAAGCTTGGAAAACCTTCATGGATGACGGAAATGAGGAAACGAATCGAATGCGAGAAGTGTTGGGAACCGCAGAGTATATGTGAAAGACGAGTAGTATAAAAGAAAGAGTCTATTCCCAACCTGGTAGAAAATACTCCTATCACAACATGCTATCATACGTCTCTTATGTTAGCAGTATTATCTTAGAAAAAACTCTTTGGTAAGTAGTAGAAATTCTGTATCCATTCACACCCTTAAACTTAAAGCGTACAAAACTTGGTTAGACCCCTCTTTCTTCTAGAAACCTCCTACTCTTACCTTCATGTAGACATACAACAGGGATGTTTGTTTACCCGAGTTTCAGATTCGAATTGCGAAACTCGCAGAATGACTCGCGTGGCAAATCATAAGAAAATGAGCATTCTCCATTGAAATAATCCGCACATTGTGGTTCATAATTATTAATGAGGAAATTGAATAAGTATGAAGTAAGAAGTTGAGGAATTTGTTACCAACTCATATGACAGTAAACAACGAAAGAGTAAAAGCATACAGTAAGTGAGCGTAGTAAAGCACGAACTAAGTAGGAACCCGAGAAGTTCGAATAATTTCGACCTACCGAATAAACACTTTTTTCGAGTTCAGAGGCTCTTAGAAAGTAAGTTGTGGTAGAAACCAACTTCCTGGTGCTTAAGTGATGTAATTAACGATGATTTAAACGCTAGCAAGAATTACGTAGAAGTGACGCAACAATAAGGAAAGAATGGCGAAAAAGACGAAAGACCGTAAAATTTATACAATTAACGTTTCGGTGAAACGAACATCTAGGTTTTCGAAAGCTTCAGATTATTTTTAACATTTAATATTTGAGATTGACAAAAATGTTTTAATGTTCGAGAGCTAAAACGAAATTCATCACAAGAGCATCACCTACATAGTCGTCTATGAACTTTGCTTAAACCTGCTATTATACCATGCAATTACATTTAATCTATTA